TTTTGGTCACTGGCACTTTGGAGAATATTTTTACTAGTGACAAGTTTTGAACTCTTATGAAAACTTACTCCTGAAAACTGCAATGCAATCTCTTGCTTTGGAAGTAGACTTACTGGACACTAACACATTGGGTTTAATGTTGTCTAACAACAAAAAATTGCAGCTAAAGGATGCTTTGGATTTTTATTTTTAATTTTTTTTTAGAATATAAAGTAAAAACGTATGTCTTCTTTTATGAGATTAAGGCAGCAATGGAGAAAATTGTGCTACAATGTGCATTAACTGTAGATAATGTTCTATTTTCCTTTATCACGTTTTTACATCAATAATCAAAGGCCAACGTATTATTGAACTAGACTGGTTTACTACAAAATCTTTTAATGGAGAAATAGGTCTTGTGTGATAACCACAGTACATCAAAGTTGAATTTTTCGCCTTACAATACACACTTATTTCTATGAAAATAAAAAAAAAACAGGTAAAAAAATATTTCCTATCTAGAGGTACCCTTATCTAAGGTAAAGTCTAGTCACTGCTATAAAAAGTTATTAAAAATTAAGTAAAACACTAGTGTAAATCAAGTAAATTCTCACTATAAAGCTTTTATTTGTAAGGCAAATCTTCCTCAGACCTGTTAGAAGCTACCTTCAAAATGTACTATTTGGAGATTTCTCCCTTTGTAGCTGATACTACCCATGGCAAACAAAAGCAGAGTCCTGTAGATAGGTTCACAGAGAGTGCAACATAGATTGCAAATGCAGGTCACCTGCAAGTTTGAGGCCTCTTGGCAGTGACCAAGAATATCACCATGACACCTTTAGAAGAGAGTAGGCTTAAGGCTTAGTAATTTTGCTACTTCACTGAATTTGTTCAGTTCCCTTATTAAAAAGAATAAGCAATTTTCATTTACTATGGCAGCTAAATAAACATCTTTAGAAAGAAGGAAAGCAAAGCACAGAGATGGCCCAATTTTCTTGTCAATTCTTAGGCAAAAAAAGCCCACTGTTCTCAACATGAAAACTAACGGCAGGAATGGTCATCTTACATGAAGGCTGCACTGCTGGGCTGAGACCTAAGCCTCTCTGGTTCTCCCCCTCTCATCTTCCTGTCAATCACTTGCATCTAAGCACTTACATATTTATCTATGGGGGACACTTTCACTGAGCATAGTCATGGTATCTGTGTTACTTGTAGTCTTCTGGCTGCCTTTTGTTTCTCTGTGTGCTTCTAGGTTAATACATGATTGCAATTTGTCTAAACATATTCTGGTTTTAAACTATGAAGGAAAACTGATCAAATTCAGTAGTTAAGAGCAGCTATGTTACAATGCTAGGTTTTTATGCTGGTTAAAATGCCTTTATCTGCCATCTAGTTCTCTATAGTAGTCTCTGGTGCAGGTAGATGCATCTAAATTCAGTCTCAGGCAGTAAGCACTAACCATGTACGGATAAAGACCCAGCTGATGATTTTAGTCCTATGTTGATTTGATTTTCATTAGGAACAGCGTGCAAAAATTTAATTTTTTTGGCCTGGGAATAGCTTGTTTGTGCCTGGCATGGCTTACAAGTCTTGTCATTCCCCAGCTAAGCTTAAGCAGGCAAACGAGACTAATTGTACATCTAATCTCAGCTAAGGAACACTTGCATGCTGTATTGGTCAGTCCAAGTGGTCTTGGCGGACTATCAGCAGAAAACTGTTCTTTGAGGATTAGAGGGGAAGAAGTTCTTGGTGAAATGCTCCAGCTGAAGTCTGAGTTACAGCAGGCTGAAATGAATGAACAAAATCCCATTTTCCAGCACAGAAACACTCAAATATAGATGCTTGAGATACAGCTGTACCCTGTATATCACCCTCGCTGAAACTCAGTGATCACAGATGTGGCAGGGTTTAACTGGAAGCTTAACTTCTGTAATTAATTTTTTTTTCAGACTGCTTTGCAGTATCCAGTACTAGTGAACCCTTTACCTAAATGAAGACAGAATGTGTCTAGTTTTCTCATGTGCCAGCTAATGTTAGTTGAGTAACTGATGATCTTTAACCATCTAGGTGTCCAAGCAGCTCACAGATTCAGTCCTGTATGGTGATTTCTGGCCAGCTTTGCTTAAAATAGTCCATATGCTACTCATATGGATATGAACCTAGTAAGGTCATGACAAGGTCTTCTTTCTCACTTGTGTGATGTATTATGGACAGTTTAGCTCCATGTTCTATAGTTTAGCTTCCCACTAGGTCAGCCCACAGGAACAGGAATATCAGTATGAATCAGAAGAAGGTAGACTGAAAAATTGTTTCCCTTTGGAGGAGATTTTCTGGAGGTGTTTCCAGAAGATCTGTCTCCCTTTACTGTAGCTAGAAGACTCCAATCTGTTCAAGGGTCTAATATGAAACAGCATGTTGGCCTTTAAATTAAGGAGATTGAGTTCTTGCTCACGACCTGATCTATGGACTACATGTATTCTTAGCCCTGGGAAAATAAAGTGTGTAAGACCAAGCATATTCTATTTTACTGTTTCGAGAGGCTCAGAGTGCACACATGATTTCTGCAGGTAGAATATATACTGCCATTTCTTGAGCTGTGGGAACTGCCTGATGTCTGAGCCCTTCAGGCCCATTTAAAAATGTTTTAACAGGGCACTGAGAATAAAATGTAAACCCTGTCTCTTTTGAAATTGCTGATCTACAGTTTAAGTTTGGTTCTTAGGGAAGAAATTCTTAAATATTTGCTAGTGTCATGTGAAACTTGGTGAATCAGTCCAGGATATGAACGAAGCCATTTACTCACCTAAAAGCAAGTATCTGCTAATTAATGCTGTATGAATTGGAAGAACTGCAAAAGATATTAAAAGCAAAAGAACTTTCTACATGGCCTCCTATGACCTAATGCTACAAAATAAACTGAATTCATGTCAAAACAGTAGTGTAAGAAGTGGATGTACATCTGAAAATTTGGGATTGACCTTTTTAAATAATAGCATTCAAATGGTGTTTTGCCGAGAAGAAATGGCCAATCGTAGGAAAATTCCTCTGGGAAACTGCATATAACATACTTTGCACGTGCAGTTAAGGAACACGTACCACAGTAACAGCCAAGGATTTCTCCTACATCCTATATTTAAAATATTATGTTTGATCCTGGTTTTCCTGCAAAATCCTTCATTATGGTAAGATGTTGCCAGGGTGGATGCTGTGTCTACCAGAAATCTAATAGTAATGTAGCTTTAGGACAGTATCAAGTATATAAAGAATTACCCTGCTAAATGACAGCAGAAGGAGTGCAAAGAAAATGGAGGATCTCTTTCCTTGGTGCTAACTTTCTGTAGCTTGATGAAACAATACGGATCACTGGCAGAAAAGAAGGTCAGAAGAAAGATGATAGTGTATGACAGCTGTTTCCTTTATCAGATTAAAGAAAGCTTTGAAAAAAATATTTTCTAGAACTGTCAAGTGAGCTATTTAATTGCTTCACTAATTTCTTCCTATTGGCTTGTCACTAAAACAGACAACATAACTAGCAAGCAGATGATACTACATCTTGAATAAGCTTGTATCAAATATATTCCTTTGGAAGGGGGCTGCCTAATCCATCAGCATACACTTGCCAACCCATGAGGATGTCTGGGAGAGAGGGCTTCTTCCCACAATATGTATAGCTGAGGGAAAGAGTGAGCTGTCCGGCTGAAAATTCAAGATTGAATTAGAGAAAGGCTTGCAGTTAAAACATATGGGTGATAAGGACCTGGATGGTTATTTTGTTTTAAGCTACAAGTGGTTGAACTGAAGGGAGATGAATATGTTGGTGGTATTTAGAATTTTCCATACTGAAAACATATTCAGGAGCTCAAAACAGGTGCTTAAGAGAAGCTGGATGCCAGAGCCGTGGCTTCTGATTGGACTGTCTGTACCATGTCACAGAGTGGAGAAAAAGAATATAAACTGTTTTTCACAAAAGTGTTTGTCATTTGAATGAACACTATCTAGTATCTAATGGCATCATTCATCATCCAAGAGGCATGAGGTAGCTGAGCATTTTGTTTTGTAGAGAAATGAAGACATTGTTCTTCATCTCTGGGATATAAGTTGTATTAATTTTGGGGATACTTCCTTTGAGCAACATCTTGAATTTAAAATCTAGCTGTGCACTCAGGCAATGTGTATTATCTTTCTTTTTCATTTGGGCTATTCCTGGCAGTAAGATTCCTGCTTTCTCTGACTTGCCTATCATCTTCTATGTAGATTGTGAGCTCTCTATAAAACCTCAGAACAAGATGGCAGTAATGCAGTGGAGTTCTGAGCTATAAATACTACCTTAAACCTAAGAAGTTATTCAGTAATAGAAATAATGGAGTAGGTAATTGCCTTGTGAGTTGGGATTAAAAATACAATGAAACCCTAATATGCTGGGTAAAGCTGCTTGCACCCCCATATTAAGATAGCTTTGCTCCTATTTCAGAGCAGAGGGGTGATGACATGTAACTTCTCCTGCGTGAGCTTTGCTATATAGATGGTGGTGGTGGGGTGTGTCCCAAGTGATGTAGGTTGGTAGCATTTCCAATCATGAGTGAAACAAACAATGCATAAATGTGACAAAGCTATTAAAGCTCCATGTAAAAAAGCCCCCAAGAGTTTCAAACTTAGTAATTATATCTATGCTAAGAAGCTTTAGAGCCATGCCAAGACAGTGACTGAAGCTGCTGTATTATTGAAAAGTAAGCTTTATAACAATGAAAGGTTCTTATGTAGTTTGGCAAGCAATAAAAATGGGATTAACTATGAGGTTGGTAGGATGGCTTTTTTTGAAGACCTCAACATATTTTCACTGTTTGGCCTCTTGAGTAATTACAGGCCACCCTTGAAATCCCTTTCTTATAGAAATATGTTTAATAACAGGTTTTAAACAGGTATCGGCTGTCAGCTGGGCCAGTAAATACGACTTTATAATTAGGACAAAGTATCCTTTGGGTTTAAACCCTAAGTAAAACTACTGTTTGTCCAGGAACTCTTCAAGAAAAGGACAGTTTGTTATATATTCCAAAGTATTGATGATATTGGAGAAGAAAGGTGAGTAAGGAAGTTTCCTTTCCATTATTGTGAACAGAAATTAGTGTTAAACGGAAAAGTCCAAAATCACTTAGGACTTTTAAATAGGGCTATTTTTAAAAAAAGAAAGAAAACCTCAACAAAAATTGTTTTATAAATAAAAAAGCTCCATCTTTTTAAAGAGGAACTGCTGCGTACATTTGAAAGATGAGTTCAATGTATAGAGGCAAAAGAAAATCAGAGGTAAGTTCTGGAGGTAAACTCTGGGCTGGATTCATGAGAAGCTACTGTCTCTGAAAATTGCTGTAGTAGTAGTGACAAATAAGTACAAGAAGTAACTCAAAGCTACCAGATCCAGTGATCACTGAGAAGATACTACAGTGGTAAGTGACGACAGAATTAGAACAGCACTCAAATGCAGTTTGTTCTGTATCTTCTACCTTGCATAACACTACCAGAGAGAAGAGCTGGAACATGCTTAGAGAGCTGAGTATGCCGGAAATACCCTAGACTATTCAACACAATCTCACTATGTTTTGTAGGTGACTCCAGGTTAAATTATAGTAATAGCATATTCACAGCAGGATAATAAAACCGAAGTTTGGTATTTTGGTGCTTCTGGGTAGATTATTTCTAAAAAATTGTTCTCTCTTCCTATGCATTTTACATTCTTTATTTGCAACAAAATATAACACAAAAATGAATGTCATTATTTGGGTGTCACGTTCATACTTAGCTGAAAAAGTCTGTGGAGTAGACTGCATGATAAAACTATTTGAATTGTTAACATAAGGGAATATATTTTGCATGAAGTATAGGGTGGTATTAAACTGTATTCTGTACTTAGTGTCAACAACAGGAATTCTGTTCCTGCTGCTCTTCAGCTTGTGTAATTAAACTGGACAGGAAATGGCATAGACATATATAGGAGAGACAACCTGCTTCACAAAGAGAAGAAAACCGATATCAAACCACTGAAAATGTAATAATGAGTTTTCAGTTTATATCCCCAAAGATAGTATGGCAAGAAAGCTAATGATACTAGTACATAGTTAAAATTGCTCTTTTCTCATAATGGAGATGTACTCTTTCTTTGCGCCTAAGAATGTTCAGGTGTTGTTGGTTTAAAATAGGTCGTGGCATGAATATCTGAAGTAATCATTACTGTCAGAAAATTCTAATTGACTTCTTCACACTAAAAGAGCATTTAACTTATGTTGATTGCTTTTTTCTCTGCTCCCTCCTCCTCCACTTCTACCAATAGCAAAACTCACAAGTTTTGGTCATGTAGGGATCTCATGGCACCAAAGGATGTAAGGAAAATTAAACAGAGTCTTTAAAGACCATTTGAAGCCAAGTAGTAGAAGGGAGGCATTGAGAACAGAGAGTGGATGTCTTCCCTCAAAGAGTCAGTAGATAAGCTCTGAGCCAGCCTGGTCCAAGCATAATCGAGGGAGCTTTGAAGTTGACTTTTCTGTATTCGCAGTTTACCTTAATATATTGGCTTTTTCCTCAACCTGTTGGTTGTCATATTGTTAGCCAGTGTTGAAGCTGTAAGGGAACAGAAGTATTTGTTAAATAACAGCATTGAGTCAAATGATGATAGTAAGAAAGTTTTTAAATACAGTGGTTGACAAATCTAGAGTTACAAAGGGGTTTCAAGATAACACACAGATTGTAACTAAATTTCTGTGGATTCCAGTTTCCAATGAGAAATGTGCTGAATAGAAAAGCTATTTTAGTCAACTGCCAGTTCAGTTTTAAAATTCAGAACTGATGAACATATATGAGCAGGAAATTTTTGTACTTGTTTGGTTATGGTAGTTAGTGTTTTGTTTACAGGCTTAAATATTATGAACAAAACATAACTATGAACTAAAGCATAACTATGCTTTAGCAATAACAAAGCTCTTCTTTGCTGTTAGTTGAAAACAACAAATTAATGCTCCCTAGTGTTTGGCATTGTTTGAGGTATCATTAGAAATTTATTTCTGAGTACAATCTTTCCTAATTTATGTGAAATTCATTTGCTTCTTTTTTTGCCATCAGAGATCTGGGTTCAGAAGACCATTACTCTTTGTAGGAATGGCTGTTTATAGCCCATTCATACAGGACCATCTGCCTCTGGAAAAATCGGGTTATTATTTACAGCTGGAACATTAAATCCACAGACAACTGAGGGCAGGAATGAAGGAAAGAAGGTAGGAAGAGGTGCTGTGCTAGTTCATATTTTTGGGCATATCAAATAAATTGTGGTCATGAAACAGAAAGTCTTTTCTTCTTGCTTTCATTCTGCATCCCATAAATCTACACTTGGATTATATCCTACAAAATTAAAAATTATGCTTCAAACACTATTTGCAGAGTAAGCAAAAGACAAATTTCTTTTTTCAACACCAACATACAAACCACCAGTAAAAAATCTGGGTCATGTTTTGAGGTGGTGTGCATAATTCCAGTTGCTTTCAACTTTGAAGAAAGAAAGTGGTCAAACATGAATGCTGATAAGTGTAACAAGCTTCACATTTGCATCCTTTTAATCTTCTACAAAAAGGACTTTATTTCAATAAGCTCATTTTGTTTGCAGAAAGGAAAGCACTATTTGGAAGCCTATAGTATATTTTTCATGGCTGCTTAATAAGTCTCCAGCAGTACTTTCAAACAACTGCAGGCCTGTGGGGAAAGCTGATTCCACATGAGCTATCACGTTATTTCATCATGGCCATTGTGCCTAAGATCTGACACTGGTTGTTTATTTTTCTGTTTACCATGTGTTGTGCTACGTAATTGGAGTTTAGGAAACATGACTTCAAATTGCTGTGCATGACTGAGAGAGACTATGACCTGTACAAATGTATGTGATAGTTTGGAAATACGTTAGTCTCTTAGTGAGACCTCACTGTATTCAGATTCAATCTAAAATACTGGATTTGGGTGATCTGTAAAATAATGGGTTCTGCTTAGTAAAAGAAGGAAGGTATCAAAATCCTTCCAGAAGAACTGATGCATATGGTACTGATTCCTTCTGCATCTTGTCATGCTGGCAGAAATAAAGGACCACAGATCTGCAGAGGTCTTCACTATAAGGAGATCGGTGCAAACCTGTAGTTGCTGCTAAAGACAGAAAAAGGTTGGTATTGGGAGACAAGTTTGGTGAAAGGAGTACAAACCTTAAACTGCCTGACATTTCCTTGGGCCACGAGTTGGTGCTCATTTTCAGGTGTGATGCAGTAAGCTAGTCTCTAAACCAGATGGGAAGAAGAGAAAAAAGTCAGCCATATGAGGTGGGATTATGTCTGTAATCCCCAATCTATAATGGGGAAGTAGCATGAACTTTATTTAAAATGGTAACTTAGATCTTTAATATCACTGCATCATGTGCCTTTAACTTAGTCACTGAAAGAACAAGCTTATTTTAAGCCCCTTGGCATTAGCCTTTAATATAAGAAGCAACAGTAGAAAGTTTATGCAAATATGAAGTCCAAATATTTAGCAAGTGCATATGGAAAAGAACATCAGGAACAAGTTGGTATCATAGGCCTTAATCCCCTAAATTCACACTTTTCTGTTTGTGCTGTGATGGGATTGCTCAGTCCCAGTGGGAATGAAAGGAGATACTATTTTCTAGCTCATCTCCCTTGCCTACCCTACACTCTGCAGTTTGGGATCACATGTGGATTTTGTCTTATCACTAACTTTTAACCAATTTAAGGAGTTCCTGTTAGACTAAGAGCATACCTTTCCCCTTTATTCTAAGAGCCACAATTTAGGTTATCATATCTTGTGACAGTTATTTGGATGTAATACACTAGACTATATTTCTCATGAAGTAACTGGAGAATTTCTAACTATAGGAGCCTGTACAAGACAAGCCAGAACTAGCTAACACCACAAAATGAATGAGAAAATGTGGGTTTGGTCAAAGTTTTTTGCATTCCAATATTACTAAACTTGCGAAGCTGGCTAAAGCCTGTTGGGCCAGTATAAATTATTATTTGACTGAGATGCTACTAGAAAACAGGTTTATAAACCCTCAGGAATGGAACTAAACAAAGGCTTATAAAATTGCTGGAAATGAGAATTAGAAATCGTGCACAATATTGAAATGTTGGAGCTGATGAAAATAGAGCAAGTGAAGAGGGATTCTCTCACTTTGGGTGGCTTTTCTGAGGTGAACATTGAATGAGGTGACTATACAGTTTCAGAAAGAAGACATTTATCACTTTGGATTTGTGAGTTCTGTGTGAGAGTGTAGCTCCCTGTCTAGGTATAGGGTGGGATCCTATTTTCTGCTTAATTCTTTGTGTGGTGGTGGTTCAGTGATTTGCTTAAGAGCATTACTGTCTTGCTACACCATTGTCTAACTCTAGCTGTAGGAAAGGAGAGCAATAGAACCAGGTGTAAGTGTGAGAGTTTGGGTTAGGTCATAAAATTATGACATGATGGAATAAAAACTGATATTATAAAATGGTGAGGAGTCTTACACCTGAGCACCATTAGAGGTTTTAAGACTGTACTTCATTCTCTTTGGCTGTAAAATTAGTACCATCGTAAAATTGATACGGTCAGTGAACTACAATCCTACTTCTTTACCCTTCTGGGGTACGGGATTGTGGTAGAGAAGTAGGAATTGGTAGAGAAGTAAGGGGAGGTGAACTGTAAGGAAATATGGATGTTTCTTCCTTTTGCATAGGTTCTTTTACAGGTTCTTTTACAGAGATTTAGTACTACAGATGAACTTATAAAAGAGATTACAAGAACACTATTAAGGCTGTAGGTTTAAATGTCTTGTTAGGCAAATCATCAGAATAAGATGTTCACAAATTGTTTCTCCTCAGTTTCTTCTTCATTCAGTGCACAGACCAGGCATATAATGCATGAAGTGAGTTTATGTAGTGCAAGATGCTGCTATCTAGTGCCCTGGTTCTTTTACCAAATCAGTTAAAATACAACAGGCTAGATGAGATCATAAGTGACTATACAAGAATTTTCTTGATTTCCAGATCTATGCCAGCACCTATCTTGAGTATTAATTTTTTTCAAGAATTCTAATATTACTGATGAAATCAAAAGCAAGATCTGCATTAATTATAGCCTTCAGAGAATGTTGAAATAATTCCAGTAAATAGAGGATAAGGGTAATGGAAATCAAACCCAAAGTGTCTGCTGTTAAAGGCAGAACACACGGCTAAATGGATCTGTTGCTGTCACCCAGTAAGGCATTTCTTCTGCCCTTGATGGTTGCTCATTAAATGAACAAAGGCCATCCTGAACACAGGGCAACTTTGGGGTCAACCCACTTTCCCAGCATGTGGATATATGTTTAGAGACTCTTCAAATGCTAAGTTAGGAGAGGTCTGAATTAAGTTTGTACTTACAACAGTTTACAACACTGTGGTATAGCTTGATAAAGCATAGCTTGGGCTGACCTTTGTTTAGATAGAATTGTGTGAAGACTATGTCTCACAGATGAATATGAAGATACCATGATATGTATTTTTTGTTAATAAGGAAAAAATAATCTCATCAATTGTATTAATTACGTGCATCAAAAATATTTTTTCAGAATTACTGTGCTGAATGGAAAGGTAATTTCAAACAGCATGCAGTAATCCTACCTCAAAATTCCAATCCATCTGATGCTTGAATCCAAAAGGTCATTCATAAGTAATAAGTTTTGGGAGTAAGAGAAACAAACTGCCAACTTGGATCCAGCCATTTAATTACACAGCAACATACCATGATATTTTATGAGTGTTTCACTTACTTCTTTAAAGGTCCCACGCACATTCATGAATTTATAGATAATATAGGCAGGCACAAGTATCATGGAAGACAATGCTATTCCCCAGCCAATGCGATTTGCCCAGAGAGGGAAGGTGTAGTCATCATAGGTCAGAGGTTTGAAATTTATTATGCTGACTATCACAACAAACTAGGGAAGAAAGAATAAAATAAACCACAGTTTTGAGATGAAGTAACTTACTGAAAAAACAATTATTTTATTAGGCAGCCCACCTAAGATGTATTTCAAACCAGCTTTACTATTTACCTTCATCTTATTTACTTTGTGCTTCTTACTTTTTAAACTGCTGAAGTTCTTTATGCATTTTCTAATATTAACAGTTCATTTTAGCTACTTTGGACACACACAGTATGAAATTTTAGTGGAAAATGCAGATGGTTGTCTGCTACTGCTTCATTTAAACTAACGTTACAGATGTAAAAAAGGGATTATGTAGTCAAGAAAAAGCTCTGCAGGATCTGTTGGTTTTCATTTCTTTGCTTCCCAGAGATATTAGTCTTCATTTAGATGTTTTGTACTCATTTTTCAATGAGAGATATAATGCAAACTCCAGTATGACATTTTTTCTGAGGGAAGGTCAAGCAGCCTTAAGGCCTGGAGAACAAAGGTTTTGGGTTTCTTTTCTGCTGGTGTTATCCTGTCCAGTACTGGATACATGCAAGGAAGAGTGGAATACTACCCTATTTCCCTCCTGTTAAATCCATATGGGTTGTGTAGTATGTAGAGTTCCTTGGTCTGGGTCTCTAGTCCTATACATTTTCCACTGCTCCACATAGCAATTTCAAATTATTTTGAGCCGAGAGTTACAAAGGGAGTAGTAGTGTGGGTTAAAGGAAGCTGATACTGTGAAATCTGGTTAGAAAACACTAATTCCATTTGGAGGATTTCCTTGGGATGATGTCCATAGCTGCAGACAATACAGAGAAGAAGATTCAGGGACATATTTCCCGGTATCAGATACTTGACCAAGTCCAACTTCTTTTCTCTTAAAGAGAATTAGGAACTGCTGTAATAAATTACTAGTCCCAAACAGGGGCCACCTTGCACTAAGCGTACATGAGATGGTTAGAGCAAGAATCACACTGATGTCTGACAATTTTGTAGCCTTTTCCAAATTAATCTGTAATTTTTGTAATTTGTATTTACTATGCTTATGGTCTCAGTCTGTTCTTGTGAGGCACTTTTTATGCTTCATACAGGTGGTGGAAAAAAATGCAGCTTCTTAGAACAAGTGGCCAAACTTCTAAAAGTTGTAGGTTTTAATTATGTAGGCTTTTAACTAGACTACATAGGTTTAATTATGTAGGCTAATGTTGGACTACCTTTTTCATATTAATTGCTATCTTTTATAGTTTTCACTTACAGATCAAGGGAAAACATTTTGTCCAATTTAATGTAATGTGCTTTATGAATATATTTAATAATATTCAAAAAAAAGATGGACTGTGAGAAGATAGATTATTTTTACTTTTCCCCTATAAATTAAGATTTTAATGTCCCTGTTGCCTTTTAGGAAATTAAGACAATGTACAGCTATAACAGAACTGTCGAGTGCTCCCTACCCACTGTAATACCATTCCTATGGGCTTTAAAATATATTCATAGCCATAATTAAGTTGATATGTTCCAAGTTTAGCACTGGCAGCTGGAAAAATTTGTGTGCTGTGATGTCTGAAAGATGCATTACCTACAAGTTTGTTCTGACCCTTAGGTTCATAGTAGGGTGGTACTGGGGCCACTTCACTAAGAAATCCTAAGCTACCTGAAGGTTAGACAGATTCACTTCAGCTTTCTCTAGTGAGCTTGCTGGAACTCCCTGTACAAGCTAATTTTTCAACATTCTCCTAATGTGAAAACCTAAGGATGTTTGGTGCAGCATTTTTCCATTCACTTAAGTCAGCCTGTTGGAACTGCTGCAGGACATGCTTTCATACAAGACTCTTTGGAGAACAGTGTTTAAAAGGATAATCAATACATGCTTAATAGGTTCTTACTGACGAATTTTGGGGCCAGAAGTTTTTGTATTTAAAAACAAAAAAGTGGACCTGAAAGCTGTCATAAAAACCTACTCAGCATCTTTGGAATACCAGTACTGCTTTCAGAATGCACAGCTTTGATGGGATTAATAGTCTACTAAAAACATAGAGAGGTCAAATTTCCATATTATTCAACCTGACCTTTTGTTTTACAAATATGTATAGGAAAAGATCCCAATATAAAACTGTATTTTAGTTCTGAATCTAACCTTTACACAAAGAAACCTAATTCACACAGTGGGATTTACTTTTTTTTTTCCCCCCTAGATGTAATGAAGCACTTGTTTTTCACGTCAGGCAGCTTTTAATGTGTATTTACTACATATCTTCAGTGTTTCACACAGCTAATTAGTTGGTGTAGAATTAGTGTCATTCAAATAGCCAGGGATCTTGGTATCCTCCAGTGAAAGATTCCTGCTAACCCATTTATTATGCCTGGCTAGTTTATTTTTCTAACAGAATGATTTGTGTTTAACATGAACAGATGTTGGCAGGACAGATGACACTGCCTAAGTGTTCAGTGTTCCATAAGAAAAGCTGCTTTCTTTAAATCCTGCTAAAGTGAAGGAACAGAAGATGACCACAGCCACAATTAGCTTCTCTTTCACAACTGAAATGTATTATACAAATATAACTAATGCCATTGTGGAAATAAAAGAAACAGGAGTGTCTTCTGTTCAACCTGACAACACCCGGCATAGCAGTGGATATCCTGCTGTTGGTACGTATTACCAATTCTAGAACCAATACAGATGAAATAATTATCTGCACTTACCAATAAAAAAGCAGGGCTAACAAATTTCCAACACAGTCTCCAGTAGAGGCCTGGCTTGAAGCCCATCATTTGCTGGATGTCTTCACTGAATCTGTCCACACCTGGAAGGGATATAAACATTAGACTGGCATAAACCTAAACTGACATGATGCTGACAACACCCCAAAAATCTGCTTTTTTAGTAAGCAGACATAAATGATTTCCATATCAGAAAACATACAAAATAACAACATTGATCTCCTTTCAATAATGTGCCTTTGACATCACCGTATCCAAGACTTAAATCCCTGTGAGCACTTAAGGCCTGTTGCAGCTGGCATTACATTAAAAAGTGGCATTGCACAAATAACTAGAATTTAAGCTGTGAAAAGGACACACAGTTTTTCAATAGTTGTGGCCTATTGTGACCCAATTACTCAATACGATTACAAGTACGCTGAAGGAAAACTCAGAACCTTACTCTTAACTGCTTACTGATAAGGTAGATTTGTATGATTCTTAATTTATCAAAAGAGACTTATTTTTTCCACTTATTGATATACTTTACCTACTTTTCAGTGCTTTGCTGAATACAACAAAATATTCATTATACTTGACAAATGTTATTTAATCTTTTATCACCTTCTAAGGAACAAGGGAGAATCAACTTCTGTGCAGTGTAAATATGCACAAAACTACATCAGCTTGAAACATGTGGTCTTTTTTAAAGTATCCTCTGTGTTTTGGAAATTATTACACCAACTAGAATTTCTAAAATTGTTATTTTTTTTATGCAGCTAAATAGCTAGTAATGTAGTTGTTGTAGACACCTGAGAAGATAAATGGTCTGTTCATGTGAGTAAATACAGAGCATGCTGATTCTGTATCTGAATACACATTAGCATTACACAAGTATAACAGGCTTTCTGTGAGTGGTACTAGCCTAATCTAGCTAAAGATCTTGAATCATCTACAAGGCTATCAATCAAGTTTGTCTGTATGTGGGAAATGCATTTTTTTTTATTCTAATAATATTAATTCATATGAATTTGCATGCTTTGGATTTTCTGGAAATTGTCTGATCCTCAGTCAGTGGGGCATTTTCTGCCTTCAGTATTTATTAGAACTTTTTTTTTTTTTTTTGCATTAAGTGATACACTATAATTTACCATGGAAAGCAAACATGCACCATAGAGTGACTGTAAAATGTCTGTTTGAATGGTAGCTTCTTCCTTTTTTTTTTAATTTATTTTTTAATTGATTCTATTCTGGTAAGACTTACTAGCGTGAGGTATCTTGCAAAAATTTAGTCTAAGCCCATGGTATTTGGCACACTGTATTTTAGAATGGAATGATTATCACTGATACAAATGGAGGAAAAATGTCCCCAGTTTTCTTTAAAAAGAAAGCAATCTCTAACTTTATGCCTTAGAGACACTGGCTCACAGACAAGTAGTTCTTTCTAGCGCAATCTGTCATGTCAGTTTATTAGTTTGTAATTTATTATACTTGATGTGTTTGGGAAGTTTACTTTTAATCCTGAATCCCATCAGGTAAACAGCAGAAATGCAGCCTTTTGCTGTGAAGATTTGTTTCTTAGAGAGGATGTTTAGTTTACCACAATAATTGTTTCTTTTCATGTGGATCAGTTAAGTACGATTTACTTAACCTATTTAATGTAAATAATGGTGACGGCTTGAGTTAGTCCCTTACATGCAGCCAGGACGTAGCATATTCATAATGTCTGGACATTAGAGTGTAAACTTCTCTGATTTTTCCTCCCTCCCCGTCCCTCCCGCCCCCCCCTTATTATGTACAGTTGAAGAAAAGTAGCCAAAAGGATCTGCAAATGCTCTTTAAATCTAGTCTAATCTTATTTGCAGGACCTTCTGTGAACCTTGAAATGACTGAATCTCAACTGCTATGAATACTGAGTGAAATTTATCATTGTGCAGAAGGTCAAAGGGAAGGACTAGATAGCTCCAAAAATGTTATCCATGAGTTGCCAGACAAACGTACCCAGAGCTCAAATAGTGGTTGGTGTTCAATTTCTACTGGAAATGGGAGATAAGTAGGCCATACTCTCAGCCTGATTTTTTAACAGCATGCTTTTTGTGTACTATCTGTCTTCAAAAAACTGTTGTAAGAATCAACATGTAAAATAGAACACAGCTACAGCTACAGACAACAGCACCTGTAGGTTTGTACACAAATTAAGAGTTGTAGTAAAACTGCTTCATTAAGGAGTCCTATCTTTTGGCTCCTGGAGTTATAATAAATCACAGAACCATCAAACTCTTCCTTTTGAAGGAGTTCTTGGGAGGTCTCTGGTGCAGAATCTTGCTCAAATCCAGGTCAGAATAATTCAGAACAGCTTTCTCATGGCATCGTCCCATTAGGTCTTGGAAACCTCCAAGAAAAGAGTCATCAAGCACACGCTGGGCAAACTGTTCCAATGTATATTTATCCTTATACAGAAAAATAATTTTCCTCCTTTCAATTTGATCACGGTCTTCTGTCCATTGTGCACCTCAGTGAAAAGCCTGATTGTGTTTCTTGATAGCTTCCTTGTAGGTACTGGGAGGCCACTATTAGGTCCTCCTTCAGACTCCTCCAGGTTAAACCAGCTCAGTTCACTAAAATTTGTTCACAGTGCATGTACACAGCTCCTGAGTATCTTGGTGGCCTTCCACTAAACTCTTGTCAGTTTACTACCACAAACTTTTACTGAGGGTCAAAAGCAGGACACAGTATTCCAGGAGCAGTATAAGTGCCAAGCAAAAGAGAGTAATCATCTCCTGTAAACTCCTGGCTATGCTTCTGCTACAGCTCAGTATGCACCTACTTCCTAATTCTGTCTTAGCGAGCTTGTATCTATCAAATGAAGAGCCCTAGTCAAACCAGCCCTCACCCAGGAGAAGACAAAAAAGGCGTGTTTTTTTTTTTTTTTTTTCCACACAGTTCAGCAGTCATTGGAGTTGAGAAAATGAGAAAGAAGGGATAAAAGGAATATAAAAGCCATTGTGAAGTGTTCATTTGCGAATCCTACAGAACACAGAACAAGGTATCTGTTGATTAGCCATGTAGTGAGTGAAGTAAGAAACACCATCCCTTTTTGTTCCTGAGTCACCTTTCTAACTCTGGGGCAATACTGATACTCATTGGTGGTGACCTTCACCTGGTGGCAGTGAGGAGAGTAAGCCATACAGTACCATTGCCAAGGAAGAGCAGCTGTGTTAACGTAAAAGCAAGGAGAACAGTAGGAAACATTCCCTGCCTTGGCAAAAAGGGTAAGAAGCCAGCAGCCATAACTAAAATACATCTGTATAATAAAACAAACTAGCTCTCCCTTCTCTTACATGTACAGCTGGCCTTTGCAAGAGGAAACTTCACAGTAAGTGGTCACAGGTACAATTTGAACTGAATTTCCATGTTTTTGGTCTGTGCTAAAATGTCAATGCTTGCCTTCAGGCTGGCTTAATATTCATCTGGGTCATTAAGGCAACTGGTAAAAAAAAAAAAAGAGGTAGACAAGGCCATGCCAGATTTAATCAGTTTAAATAGCACCTGGGGCTGCAGTAAGTTCTTTATACAGCAACAGGTCATGCTGTGTCAGTAAAAACATAGGTCAAGTGCTCAAGACAAGTGAATAGCTATTTTCCCAGCTACAGGGAGGCAAGAGAGAGGAAGGAAAGGATGGCGAAGGGCAGAAGATGCAACAAACAGAATCTGACTAAACTTGGCTTGGTCTGTGAACCACATGCAAAGCCTAGCTTTTTTTTTTTTTAATAGTAGCAGAGAACAACTTGCCTTTACTAACTGAAGAATATTTTTATGCTTCTGCTTCCAAATTAAGCTATCATCACTCTTCCGCATCCAGCTCTTTTACAAGGATTAGAGACAGTTGTCTGTGAAAAGCAGTGCTTCCAGTACTTTGACAGAGAACAGCACATGAGCTGCTAAATCCATGCTGATGTTGAGTGACAGAATTATTACATTAAAGCTAAAACCTATTTCTTTAGAAGACTGCAGAGCCTTATGCATGAATGCCATTCTTTTATCTCATTCACTCATCAATACTTTCTAACTTCAAGAGAGCATCTGGCTAGAAGAATATGGTGGCACAGAACTGATTGATAAATAAGTGACTGAGGGAGGTAAATGGCATGAGAGTGATAATGTTTAAGAACCTTCTGAATGATACATTCTGAATACGATTATATACTGAATCATACAATATCTCTGAATAGAAGTGAAGGGGGGGAGAGAAAAAGAAGTCTTTTTTCTTATGAAACTTATGTATCAAGTGTCTTGATTTTTATTTATGTTACTTTATGGAGGCAAAAATATATTAAAATAAGGCCAGGGAAATTATTTAATAAGATGTGCACATCATCTGAGACCTACCTTTAATTGTGAGTGGTATTTTTTTCAGGGTACTACAGCACATCACTGCACTCCAGTTGGCACACAGTGATTCCAGCCTAGTGCCAGAGATCAACTGAATACTCCTAAAGCTTGCTATACACGGGATAAAGTGAATTACTGCACCCTTTTTGTGGTGCAAATTAGTATGAAATACTAGAAACAGTACTATTTCTGGTATCTAGGATGTTGGGTATTCCATACCAGGCTGTGAAATATGATACATTTTAAACCAATAGTGCTTTACAATGAAGTAGAATGTTTTCTTAGACAAAAGAGAGTAACATAGGAATAACCCTCTAAAGACAAACTGCCTTTATTTGTATGGCATGGGGAGAGCTTGAGATTGGCCTGGGGAAATCATGAGAAGGAGGAACAAGTGAGTCTTTGGGCTAATCTACTTGCTTTGAAAGTACCAGATGTAAACCTGCTACTGCAAATCATCAACTATGTTAAGAGCTGCAAAATACTGACAAAAGTAGCAATATTTCCATCCCACTGCAGTCTCCTTTGTAAGGTAGGGTTTTCTTTTTGGCTTTGTGAAGGGTTTCAAAGCTTGGCCCAATAGACATCTGCATTCCTGGCTGTTCATAAATCAGATGAAAATCACTGTGTGACACCTGACTTGTGGCTTCATGTATACAAGACTATGCTAGTTTTCCTGCAATGTGTAAGCTTGTCATGAGCACTTGGGATTATAGAAAAGATTTTGCAGGTGCAAAATGAAGCGCTTACCATAAAACCAGGAAACTCCAATTGCCTCCATTAGAACTGCAAATAATATCGAAGTCCCAGCTGCAAACGTGTCCAGAAGTGTGAGCACATAAATTCCACCCTAGCATTGGGGAGTTAAAAGATGCAACAAAACGAAGTTACAAACAGAATTATCTCAGTAGCTTAGTATCTAATTATCAGAAATCACCTTTACTTGAAATATTATCTCAACCCAAGTATTTTAATATGGAGCTGATGCTGCAGACATGGTTTCATGCTTGTAAACAAAACAGTGGAATCAGATTGAAGCTCTTCTGAAAAGGCTTCCTTTCACCCATGTCCTCACTTAACTGGGAAACAGAAGCCTCAGGTTGGTATGATTAATGGGTGTTCTTGGCACTCTGTGTTCAATGGAAGCTGAAGGAACTGGCTAGTCGGGGAATGCTCAGCAGCTTGTAGGACAGGGCCTGTCTACAGTGGTGAATGACCACCTTCCAAAATTATTAGCAGGGATGGAGCAGCACAAGGGTTGCCACAAGCCATTACCACTCAGTTTGTTTCCAAAGCAATTATTCTGTAGTCCAGTGAATCTGCAGTCTTAGACTGTTTCCTTTTCCCAGACTGCTGCTATCTCTCCTTTCCAATGTTCTGCAAAGCAAGCTGTTGCATGTTAAGTGTCTGTTGCCAGCCCAGTGTGGAGGCAGCTTAGCTTTGGTTTCTTGGCTGTGGTATTAGTAAGCCTTTGCTCAGTAAGAGAGCAAACTAGATCATCTTTCTTTCCAAAAGCACATTTCTGTTCTTCAGTGGTTCATGACTGAGAACTGTAAATGCATTTACTACAGCCTAGTTTCACCGATACTGTTTCATTTTTAGCTCCACTTTGAATACTTTTTGCCTCGTTTTACAATGTGGTATGAATTTGTGTAAATCATTGCTTATTTTATTTAGTTTGGAGGGATGAGAAATGAAGGCCATGGTATGGTTACTTGTTTTGAATTGAACCTAAATAAAGAATGAAATGTTTGAGAACACTCTGTCACATGTAAATAACTGAAATGTTTGCAGTTGCATTTTTTGTTAACTTTTTTTTTTTTTAACAACAAAACTTGATCTGGTTAAGCCTGCTCAGAAGGGGAGGATAAAGGAATTATTCTGCATATTTTATAAATGGTATAAAGGGCACTTGGAAAATTAAAATCTGTAGGTGATTTGAATCTCTGTGATCAATTGGTTTTCTCTTATGAAATACGGCTTTTTGAAACAGCTGTGCATATTTACAAATAGAGAGGGAACAGTACTTAGGCCTTGTCTAGATTTTTAATTCCGTGGGGACTTGTCCGGAAACTGAATGAACTTTGGTTGTTGCGTTAGAAAGAAAATGTTTCTTCTTGAATGACATTTGAGTTTGACCTCTTGTTTTTTGCTCTACACCTGCTTTAAATGAATGCCTTTGCTATCAGACATAGTAAAGTAAATGACTAATATGGTTTCATAAGAAACATGTTTTGAAAACACAGCCTTAAAATTTCAGAGGACAACATCAAGCAGATAAATTTAATGTGATGGTATCATGACGGTTTTTCTTTGTATTCTGTACACATTAGAAACGTTGTTTAGTTATGTGAACCAACACACTGGACAAGTCAGGGCCGTACTGTGCATTCCAGCTGGTGGGGTGAACTGAAGTCCAAACAGGTGTCATTATTTAAAATCTAGAGCTAGGCTGTTCTCTTGAACTGCTTTAGCTCGCTTGAAGGGAGTGGAATTGCACCAACTTTTCAGATTCTTAACAACTGAGTTTTTTCTCAGTTTCTACTTCAGGAAATTTTATTCCAGTTTAAAATTTGAATAAGGAAGGTGCATGTTCAGTTCTTTAGGTAACAATAGACCTAACATGTCATCAAAAAGGTAGGTATTTTAAATGCTGCATCTATTTTTAGTGCCTCAAATGTTTTCCATTTTGAGGAAACCACAGTAAAGATTCCGTATTCTTTCAGTGTAAAAAGAATTTTATTACCTATAAACTTATGCCATTTTAGTAATAGACCTAGAACCAGTTTTAGAGCTGGAGAGAGGTTCAGCACATCTACTTTCATGGGGGCTTCTTCAAGTTTCAGTTGTTTTTGCTTTTTCATAAAAAAAAAAAAAATTTAAAAAATGTCTCCAACCTAAAACACTGTGATTCTCAGCATTTAATTAGTTGTTAAAAGCCTGGTGAGGCAGATCATGCAGGATGATGGTAGTACTAAATACAGGTCACTAGATGTTCAGGATGAGTTATTTGTGCGCTTTTTTGGTGTTAAAGATATGATCTAGGTACATGATGGAACATAAAGAAACCTCAGGTGAAGGAGAACATTATTCTAAACTTCTTTCACATGAAGTGAATGCTTCTTACTTGCTTCAAGAAGAGAATAGCCAAATGACCAAGTGAATGGTCACTTAAAATTCTTGGTTTCTCACACAGGACTAAGCACACAACACAGTTACATTTAACATGAATTAAAAAAAACCCCAAAACACAGAAACCCAAACAAAACCAACAGTAGCACAGACAGTTCCTTGGAAGAAAGACTTGTAGGTTCTGTTGATAGCTAATAATCTTGTGCAAAAAAGCAGAGCAACTTCATGTAGTTTAGACTGAGAATAATGTTCTGACCATAAAGTTAAGTGTTAAAATTTATAACAAGAATTGTCACCTGAACCTATTCAAGTTTCTACCCAATGATAAAAACTTGCATTTTTAAGGTAGCTTATGGATTGAAATTTTTGTTGTACTTACATTGGTGATGCAAAAAAGGGCAAGTAGAAAAGTGCCGAAAGAAACACCAAAGGTGAAGAGCTTTCTGTGCTGCTTCAGAATTTGGAAATCATCCGCCAAGCCAGTGATGACAGCCTCCATTCCACCCATCTGAGGAAGAGAAGGCAAGAGCTTTGCTTAGACTTTACTGGCTGTTGTAAATTCAGATCAAAGAATGTGAAGCAACTTGTATAAATAATTCCCAGCCACTGTATGATTACTGACATTTCAGCTGTAGGTCACTGCCATTTGGAGGTGTATTTTAATACCTGTGGTAAAGAACTGAGTGAGAGAACTGGATATCAAGTGCTATGGTTGTTGGTTCAATAGCCATATCCTCTGCAACCATTTGCTGGCTCACCAGGACAGTAAATAGACAGTAATTTTGGAAATATAATATACATTTTAATGTGCTTTCGGGAAAAAGCTGGTAGCTTAAGCAACCAAACTCCTTAAAACAATTCCAACTTAAAGACAGACACAAGAAGCACCTAGGGGAAACATACTGAACAAAGATTCAATTCAGCCATCGAATAACCAAATCTAGTTTGACAGAAATCTTTATAGATCTGAGAGAATCCCTCCATAGGAAACTTGATATCTTTTTGTTGACAACATGAAAGAATTTTATTTTGTTTTCTGGAAGTTAATGCTGAACTTCAGCCACTGTGCCTGAATTAGCAATTGTTGTGCAGTATAGGAAAGGTACTTTCCATGCTTTTATTGGAATTGATGGGTTATGTAGATGGTTATAAATTTTAATTTCCTTCCACCATTGAAAGCATTCTGCCTCTGCTCCACTAGGAAGCTGCAAAAATGAATTCTGGTTCCTTGTCATAATAAATAAGTGTATTTAATGTTCTGGGGAGGCTGGATTCCATGCTGGCATATCCTGTCCCTTTCCTGTAAGAATTTGATGAAAGAAGTGTTTCTGGTTGAAATCAGTAGCAGAGGATTATCTCTCTAGAATGTGAATGATTCCAGTCTAGAGCCACATTGGTGGAGGCAGTGGACCAAATTATTTTTTTTTAAAGGTATCTAATATTCACAAGTAAAATGTCCCACAGCCTCATGTTGGCTTGTACTTCTTAATGTCTATGGGTGCAACCGTGAATGCACTGCAGTTAAGATGGGTTAATATTTGGTATTCTCAGAAGTTGTAACTGTTGGCACCTAAATGGTCTTGGAGAAGTTGGAACTGGAGAGGAAGCTTGAATGATTTTGTCTAAGGACCATTACTGAATGTCTCATGGTTTATTCTTGTCAGTTCCCTATGCCAAGTTAGATACCTACTCTAAAAAAATGTCTACAAACATTTGTTCCACTTTCTGTCCTTTTCATTGTTGCTTAAACCTGCATGATCATATTTCTCTTTGCTGAAACATTTTGACAGTTCCACACAGATGTCTGTATTTCTGTGCCAGTGCATGAGTATATGCGTGAATAGTTTTTTATAATTATTCCTCTTTAGTTTTAGGGTTATTTGATTTTTAGCTTTAAAAATTTTCCTTGTCCCTTCAGGGACTTAATGTGGAGGGATACTTGAGGAGACCACCATAAAAAATACCCCATGACCTGACTTTTCTTGGGTAAATTATGAAAAATCGTTAACAAAACATGAACAAGAAAATTCTTCGCCTTTTAAACAGAAAAAAACTAAACTTGGCCACAGTTTCTCAGTTCACATTATTTTAATCAGCTACAGAAAAAAGAGCTTTCTCCACCTGTAAGAAAAGTGTGTTCTGTGTTCTAAAGGCTTGTGCATTTTTTACTCAAATATTTCGTTGTTGCCTTAAATTTACTGCTGTTGCAAAGATAACTGGTTTGGATCTAAACACTTCTGAGCATCTGATTTCTTCTTAATTCTGCCCTCTTCTACTGGTCATTCATGTTTTTTCAGTGTGCTAAACCCTTCCTTTCCATCCTTCATGTTTGCTTACAGTTGGAAAGTGGCCAAGCTACAAAGCCAGACATAATCATGCCCCAGACTTTTGAATAAGGATTCAGATCTTTGTGTATAAAGACAAACTTTACTGAATGTGAACTGGAATCCAAAAATCCAAACATGTCAGAAACATTTAGACCCAAATCTGACCTTTACAGCTCAGGACTCACTCCACAAGATCTCATTCTATTTGCCACTGATTACCAAAGTTTCCTTCTGCAACCTTATTTTACTCAGTTTTGCTCTCCTCTGTGTCAGTTCATTCTCTCCCTCTCTTGTCCTTGAAAATTAAGGAAGTTTTCTGCAGTTGTAAGCAATGGAAATGCTGTGTTTTGCCACTTCCAGCAAGAAATTTCTAGATTAGCTGTGTACATTCAGAAATACCAAAGCCACTTCTATACTTTAGAAGAGTAAGAAACCCGGGTCACTATTTCTTAAAGACCTTGTTTTTTTGCCCCCCCCCCCCCCAATTAATCAGCCTTTGAGTGGAATATAACAGGATGTCTTGATGTGTCTTTGGCAAGAGCAAAACAGTGATGTTGGGTCATACTTTAAAATAGTAATAATTCTTGGTGAACAGCTCCTCTTGTAAGGTCATAAAAAAACAGCATTAAGTAATTATTTACTGGCTTGTAAGAGACTTGATCTTTTCCTAAAACTTTTAAATATTGTGAGCGTTTAAAATATACTGTCAGGATTAATATTATTGGTATGTTGGCTGTGACTGTGAAAACAGATTCAGGGAACATACAGAATGTTTATTTGAAATGTAATAAAGCCCCTGTTTAAGGTTGATACCTCTCCAGTTACAGAATATAACAGCAAATGAAAGACGTCAAGACTTGAAAGAAAAAATACTCACAGAACTGTCTATACCAAGAGTAAGGAGCATGATGAAGAATACCACAGCCCAAAATGTAGATCCTGAAAGAGTTGAAATTGCCTCTGGATACAGGATGAAAACTAAACCAGCTCCTGAAATAGGAAAGAAAAGTTTTTTAAAATAAAACACCAAAAACCAGATGATGTTGCTTACCCTCACAAAAGTATTCATTTAAAAAAAATACGATTAAATAGACTTTTACATCAGTTCGCATCACACTCTAAGTAGCTGTTAAAAGAAAATTTGTGCTATACCAATAATATATTCAAATACTTTAATAATGTACTCATGACAGTTTCATACTAAGAAGAAAAATCTCTATCCCATTCTTTTTAACTTCTATTAATCTTTCTATTGGGTTTACATCCTTGCTGGATATTTTTCAACTGTAGTAGAGAAAGAGCCATGTGGGTGTGGACCCTACCATCTGGCCAGAGAACTTGGATGTGATGAGAGATACAGGAACTGAAATCATGAGCAATCTGTTACCCGTGAAAGGACTCTACCAGCTAAACTTATGAGAACCACCCAAACCAGTAACCTGCGGTACTGAGCAGCAATGTTTTCACAAGACACTATGCAGGGGTAAATGTCTCTTTGTTGCACAGGCTAAACTTGTGAGGAGCAACATGTTTGTGAACTTCATTTCAGAGGAGGCAAGATGAATCAATAGCACTTAGAGTTCACTTTTCAGCAAGGCATTTACACACAGAGCTTTAGTTCCAAAAAGCTAATTCAAGTAATTTGCATAAGATTTTTACACACTGTTTGAAACAAATATAAACACATTTGTTGGACAAAAAAAGGGTAGAACAAGTATAAAATTAACTTCCTACCTTCAGTAGCTACATCCTCAATTTTAACTTTGTGCTCATGAGCCATGTAGCCCAATATGGAGAAAATTGCAAATCCTGAGATGAAGCTTGTGACACAGTTAATGGTACTAGTCAGCAAAGCATCCCTAATGATGGAGAGAAGAACAGCCCAGTGAAAAAAAGTCAACAAAAAAGACTTTAAGAATAGATGAGGATTGGTTCATAGGAAGATTCTCATCAAAATGCTAATTGTGAAACTCTCTTGATGACCTAAAGCTTGTATCATCACACTATGCTAGGAAATAACTTCTGTTTACTATCTGGATTTAAACCAGAGTTCTGTTAAACCCACAAACCAACAAAGCTCTATCAAATATTAAGATATTAAAAAGCAATGAGTTGTAAATGCTACTGAATTGAAGTGTGCTTTTTATGGTTAGAACTAAACCACAGTACTTAATGAAAGTACAGATTCTTCTTACACGGATGGCCAGGCTTACGGCGCGATATTGAACAAATATGTTAAGCTAAGAACTACATAATATGAATTTGCATATAGTTTGTGGAGGTATTTTCTCAGGGTCAAGTGTATTTTTTTCCATTTTGAATCAAAATTAGAATACAGAAGAAAAATACACAGCAGCTATAAGATTAATGCAAAATTACTTGAAGATGATGGTAACTGTTATTTTGGAAGACTGCTGTGGTTAACATTCTAACTGAAGGGTTCTCAAACCTTGTAATAGTACCTACTGCAAATAATCACCTGGCAACCCAAAGCTGCTTTCAGGTAAGTACAAAACTCTGAAATCAGTGGAAGTGTTCCATGATTTTGGCTTTCAGTCTGCTTAAGGCAGTTACAATCTATGCATTTTCTGGTACCTTCTCATTTAAACTTTTTTTTTTTTTTTTTTTTTTGCCATCCTCCAGTTCACAATGTATTTATAACACATGTACTTTCTGAATTTATATTTCATGGGAAAATTTAAAGCTATGCTTGTTTTCATTCCAAAATGGAATGTTAACAAGACTTCTAAATGTTGGAAGCTCTCAGAAGGTGCAGAGCGGTTCTGGCTGAATTTCCATGGTGGTGATTCAGCAAAATACTTACAAACTGACTTGATTTAATTTAAAGTGTGTTGTTAAATTAGAGCTCAACATAAAATATCAGAAATAATCCCAGGGCACAGAAACACTGCTGGAAACTGGAATCCTTCTGCTTTTAGTTCCTGAACCAATAAGACTTCATCCTGTGTTCACTGTTGCACTTACTGGTACTTTTGAAAGGCAAACACAAGCACAGTTTACACAGCTGTCTAAAGTCCAAACCTAATCCCATTCTGTTTTGCTGTACAGCAGATATCTTGGCAGGTTCCTGTTACTAAAATTTCAGTTTCAAGATTTGGGTTGGTTGCTATGTCTGCACAAGACTAACCATTAGTAATAAATGACTGAAGATAGAAAGATATCTCAGTACTTATTCTAGGTGCAGTTCAAGTAAAATAGCATTGCTGTGAAACAGTAAAAGAACATGTGAAAGAACAGGCTGTCTTACCGGTAACAGTTGTTGTCAAACTTATTGTAACTGGCAAACGCAATTAAAACACCAAATCCGGCTCCTAAGGAGTAAAATATCTGAGTAGCTGCATCAATCCATACCTGCATAATGACACCAACATTATCAATGTCAGTTCAGTCCAAAAGATACATCAGGAAAATGCAAGAAGTGTAGAAGACAGATGGCTTTTGAAAAATGATCAGCATTCAAGGTCATGGGAGTGTGTTTCTCAGTCTCATGAGATGTCACGTGGAGCACAGCCGTGGTCCAGAACAGCTTAACCTGAAATGGTAAGGGCTGAAGCAGTGGGCAAGTGATACCACAGTGTGGGGTACTAGTCGAATCTGTATTTCTGAGCTTTTACTGAGTACTGAAATGATTGCATGACTTTTCTCCTGGGTGGCAGAAATGAATTCCCAATAACTCTTGTTCCAAGATAATTTGGACAATCAGAAAACTAAAAATATACAACGGGTCAGGAGTCACAGGACATTTTCTTTCCCATGAGAGAGCTTTCTTCATGGGATTGTTAGTACATTTTATATGATGCTTTCCTGTTTCAGAAGCTGAAGCACAAGTGATGCGCTGTGAACAGAACCACACAGGTTATCTGTCACTTTTCCTGCTTAGGTGGAAAAGGAGTTATTCCTGTGATATTCTTTAAACTTCAGTTTAGATGAAGATTGATAATTTTTAGGATTCTGCACCAAAGAAAACCTGTTATTACTGCTATAACATTTTCTAAAGTGACCATCCAGCTCAGCATCCATGTGCAGACAGCAGTCAGGAACAATGCATGCTGCTGGTGTCCTGAATCAGAAGCCTGAAAATAGCTTACCCTGGTTAATTAGGATTACACTTATTAATTTGTTATGAAGAGATATTTAAACAAGCATCTTCAACAAGGGTCTGGAATTCAAGACTGCAGAAAGTGCTGGATTTATCTCCACCCAGCTCTATCAAATCAGATCTAATGTATCTATTTAACAGCGGCATTTTAACAGATCTAAGCTGCTTATGAGCTCCATCTACATTGGGACTTTAAGCCAAGTCCTCGCATTTGGCCCAGTGGAGAGAGATTTCCTTATCCCATGATATATGAAGTCACATTAGTGATCAATTTTTTTTCTCAGCATAGGTGATAGATGCTTTCCACTACTGCGTGTTGAAGACTGTAACCATTTACTGAGCTCTGGATTTGTAGAGAAACTTAGTTTTATGAGTTTTAAGTTAATTACTTAAAACAAAACATGAAGAACAATCTGCATGTTTATTGGAAACCAGTGGATAGGTGGATATGGTTCCTCTCAAACTGCAGTTCATACAGGGCTTTTAGGTACCATGAATTTCTTTTACTAAATAGCAAAATGATCCTGTAAAATTAATTCCTTGATCATTCCTTTTGTGTAGCCAGTTACACCTTCATGTTCTACCTCCACACAAAGGCTGGTATCAACGACTCTCCAAGAAGTGCTTAGGTGGGTAAGAGTGCAGTACAGGGTGATGCAAAGCCTCCTATAATTTTTCTTGGTTTTTAAAGCTTCTTATAAGTTGTGTTGTTAACAAGTTTCCTGAATTTTCTTAAAATAGTTTTTGTTTACACTATAACTGCCACCAGCCACTTGTTTTTAGTGGCTCTGTAGCTCTTTGTGTCTTGGCAGTGGCACTGTACTCATTTTTGCTTTCTTAATATTAAAGTATCGTTCAGCACATGCTTAATTCCTAATGATTCAAATAAGAGGTTAGCGCTTGCTGCCTACCAAAAGAGTTATGTGTATGCTTAAGTATCTGTCGAGTAAGACTCTTGGCTCATAGTAACTGATTAGGAAACAGAGTAGATCAAGGTGAAGGGAAAAGTTAGCAGAAGCCATTAATTCCTTTAGAACTAAGATAAAATGCAAAATATTCCCTTTGCTATAAAAAAGCAGGATTGTGAAACAGGCAGTGGGGCTTGTTCTTCTGCAGTTTGTGCTCTTGTTATCTGTTCACTTCAGCTGAATGGCTTCTGGTTGATGCATAGTCTAATATATTTTATAGTAGGATATTGGTCTTGTATGCATTCAAACTGAAAAAAATACAAACATTTTACGTGAGGCAGTCATCATCTTTTGAGCTTTCTTCATAGTTTAGTTGTTTACGCCATTGTAACTTTTGTGCATATTCTGTCTTTTGTATGTGGATTTAAAGAATTGCTGTGCTGTGTGAAAATGAAACATTGCGTGTTTCTTCAGGAAACTTGTTAAGGTGTATAAAAGACTGAGTGTCTCTTCCTCACATATGATTTAATTCTGTAACACTGATTTCTTTAGGAGAACAGAAGTGTAGCTGCTGTTTTACACAGGTGTTTAATGTATCCATCTGTGTGGCGGAGATGAGCATTGTGGCTTTGTAGCTCCTGGACAGTCAGAAAAGAACATAGCTAAGTATTGGTCTAGTTAAGAGATATGAGTATCTTTCTTTCCTTTTTGTAGACACATTCTTTGTGTCAGTCTTTGGGATTCAGTATTCCTAAAATTTCACGTGTCTCAGGGTTTGCTCAGTGCTGTGTGGCATGTGGCTCTATAAAATGAAGCAGAGCTTGACATGGATCAGGATGCTCTAAGGTCTTTCAGAGGAGCATTGTCAGAAGTCATTACTTTTTGTGACTTACAATGTTTCTTTGTTTGATTTTTCATTTGGGAGAAAAAAAAGCGTAAATCAGAAAAATTCAGGAACTCACAGACATAGAGCTAAAGCAGAAGCCTGTTCTTTGGAGCCTGAGGATTAAACACACAAGTGTATTGCATCAGCAGGTATCTCAGTCTCTGAGCAGCAGAAAGGCTGATGTGACAAAGCATTTTCTGAAACTTCTCTTTATAACTGATCTTTAGTCTTTTATTATTCCTGAGCAACCTTTTGTTGTTGTTGTTGTCTGCAAAAAATTAGTCTTAGAAACAAATAAATTTAGGGTCATCCAAATAGCAGCTGCAGAAATATTAAGCCAAGGAGGAGCAGTGCACAGAATATCCTTCCAAAAGCAGAAGGCAGCAATGATTATGAAGGTCTGGATTCTGAGCTGATGCCAGTTGGCACAGCTCCATTGACATTTGTTGAACTTGTGATGTTCTTTTCAAACAGCACTTAAAATACTTAAGAAAACTTTAAGCACCTACTTTGTTCATCCTTGCATGTTCGTATTTATGTGCATGCATGAATGTGAACTACTGAGGTGGCTACTGCCTTGGAGGCAAAGGTGAATGAAAGACCTATACCTGAAGTTCAGTTTTACTGTTTCAAAATAGAGTGAGATAGGGTCTGGGTTCTAGTGGTAACTTCTGTTGTGGAAGAAATGCCGGTTTCCAAATTCAGTATTACAAAGCCAAGGAAGGATTGGTTTGCTAAGAGTATATAAAATAGGTCTGTATTCTAACTCTCAGGGTGTTTTTAAATATTCATGAAAAATCAAGATAAGATGCATAGGTAATGTACAATGCCACTATGTACAGATTACAGACATCTCTGAAAGCTGAAGATTTTCTGGATAGTTCATTTCATTCCAGTAGAACTACATCCTTGATTTTTACTTTTGCAACCGTTTGAATGGCCTCATGACCCATTCACAGAGAGACCACTGTCTTAGAAATTATTTATGGTATTTTTGGAACAGCATAGTGGTAAGATCACTCTAGTCACCGAATCATTGTTCTCTTTGTAGGTCTGAAATGCTGCTAACTTCATAAGTTAGTGACTATACTCTTAGATCTGGCTTTACAATGGATGAAATAATTCTTAGTTCCAAGGTACTCCTCAAATTGAGTTGGTTTGTATGTATTTAATGAGAATGTCTTGCAGTGTTGTTAAATGATACAGTGAAATGTATATTGCTTTTGATAGTAAGATAGGAACACCAAACTATGGAAAATCTCATTCGTATGAAGGACCATGATTTGATCAGGTGAGTTAGTTCTGATTTAGCATGTTTAGCAAGGTTTTCATAGGACAGGATTTTTGTTTACCAGGTTAATATTTAAACTCATGATTCAAAAAGTGAAATTTTTTTTTATTGACAGAATCCTTAGCCTTTTGAGAACTGACTTTTGCATGCCTCAATTTGCATGTATAAAGGATACTGCAGTTTACAGCATCTCAGCCAAAGCATGGACTTTTTAATGGACTATCACACCTGAAACTGCCTTTGTACAGGTTTGTTGTGATCAGAACAGTTTGAGTTGAGGCTGAGACAATTTGCTATGGACAGTGTTAGAAAGTTAGACCTCTAAGGACAGTGGACTAGTTCTTCTGCAAAAGCAGAATTGTGAATATATAATTTGAGAAATTAGCTCTAATAATTTCCTCTGTAATAACAAGGGCAACAGGTTTAATAGTAGTAAGGGAATGAGAGCAGAAGAGTACACTTACTGTGGCTTCTTTTAATCTTCTGAAATCAATGTGCAGGTACGCATTTATTCCATTGTATGCACCAGGCAGGGTTATTCCATGTATTAACAAGACAAATAATACAACATAAGGCAAAGTGGCTGTTATCCAAACGACCTGCAGACAACAGAGACCCCAAAGGTTAATCACCTGTTCCAGAAGATTTATGGAGTGAAAATTACAGGTAGCATTTTCTTGGTTTCACCCATTCAGTTCAATGGAGAAGCTCTTTATAGGATGTCTTGGGGGTAAAATGCTGTTATGAGTCTTTATGTATATATGTTTACTGATACTAGTAGGGGACAGTTCAGACAAACAGAAGACTTGGAGTGCTTACACACTACCAGTGTATTAGACTACTGATTAGCTATTCAGCTGCATATTCATTTATTTGAATTTACAATATGTACATTCATTGCCTGCTGTTAGGTGATACCTTCATGACAATGTACAAAAAGCTCTCAGATGTATCCAACCCTAGAACTGCTGTTAAGGTGTTTTCTGAGAGATGTAAAAGACTAATTTCAAATTACTTTCATTACTTTCTCTTGTCATTATTATATAATAAAACCAAAGCATCTTATACCATTGAAACATTAATACTTTTGGCTAAGAAAAGTAGGCACGTTTCAGACAATTTAAAAGTCTTTCAAAATATTTGCTGGATGAGACCATTAGTGTTGAATCAAAAATAATCTGATGATAAAATTTCTAGCTGGATCATCATATAGTAAAACTTGTAAATAAGATAAAGGCTGAATCAGGATTGTGTATTTCCACTGTACAGATGTGAAGATCTCTCACATGGTTTGGTCCACAAGGTTCCCTCAGAAGCAGTGATTTAGCCTCTTGTTTTCTAAAATTAAGAGACTTCTTAAATGAGACAAAGAAGGTGGTTGAGACAGAAGGACAATATTAGCTCTACCTTTCCTGAAGTCTTCACGCCTTTCCACAGACTAAAGAAAAGAATGATAACCACCACCAAAAGGCAGAGGGAAAGTTGCCAGCGAGGCAAGCCAAGGTCATGGATTCCACGGCTTTCGTGCAGGTGCAGAACTCCTCGCCTACATACCAGATATACAGAAACAAAGAAGTCACTTGGAGAAAAGGCTTTTACATATCTCATGGGCAGCAGAAATGGATGCTTCACTGCAGTTGTAGTTGCCCTACTGACATTGCTAGCAGTTAGTGGAATCTGTTTTGTGGAGCCAGGTACTGTGCTTCTTCTACAATGCCTTTATGGTCTCACTGTCCACATAATGTTTGTTTAGCACCATAGTGCCATAATGATAGCACTCTCCTTCACTGGAAGTCTGGAAGTGTTTGGGGATTTTGGAGGTGTCATTTGCTGGTTCTTGCTTGAACAATGAAGAGATGCAGAATCTCCATCACTGGAGATTTTAAAATTTGGCCCACAAAAGCCTTTGAGACTGATTTACTTTTGAAGTTAGCCTTGAATTTGTGTAAGGAGTTGTATTAGGTGACTTTCAGAGTCCTCTTCCAACCTAAATTATTTTGTGATTCCAGGTAAGCAAACAGCTGGATACCTGCAACTTGAACAGTTCCAAATTTACTTTTGATTTTTATTTGAAATAGGCTATTGTGAGGCTCCAAAAGTGGGTGGGTAGGAAAAGCAAGTGATTGTAAATTTAAACTGGATATAGTGCTCTGTGGTTCACTGAGTTATAGTTCACTATAGTTCACTGAGGCAGTAGAGTGAGAGCAGAGGAAATTTTGTTGCCCACCAGGACAGTCTAATTCTTTTGAGACATTTACACAGTGAAATGGTTTAAATGTGAAGAAGTGTTTGTCCTCATAACTGGTGACATCTACAATTAGAGTTGTCAAAACACAGCGTATGCAACCAGCACAGGAAAATGGGAGAGATGTTACAGTGGGTCTTGTTTTAATTCAGATCTATGCTATTGAAGTGCCTTTTGCTGCTTTCACAAGTCTAGAAAATGCAGAAATACTTTGTTTTACTGAAAGCTGTACTTGCACAGGGGAATGGCACTGTGGCTGGAGCCCTGCACTAGAGGTGAATTGCAGAACTAACTTCTGGTTCTGATATGGATCTACAGGATGCTGGCTCAGGGATTCAGTTTCTCAGTGTTTCAAAGCTCATCCAGATAAAATGGAAAGAACCTTCCTTGCCTTCTCCCTTTTCTCTATCAGCTTTTATTTGTTATGCACTGCTTGGGTAGAATAGAAAGTTGATCCCAATTGGCTTTTCTTATCACCGTGATAATGCAAACAAATCAAATCAAAGAAACCCTCTTCACTGGAGGTCCTTGACATATTTTAGGTAGATAACTACATTTTAGAGAAACTGAAGAAGTGATTGATTTGTCCTGCATGACTGCAGACATGCAGAGTCTAATTAGAGGAGACTAATTCCAAACCCATTGGCTGTCCTGATACAGTCTCTTACTAGATAGATGGTGCTTCAGAATTAGCTTAAATACTTGTCTTATCAAGCCAGAGCTGAGTGAGATAGTTAAATAAGTTCCAAGATAAGGCAAACCTTTGTCAACTTAAATAGGGAAAAATGAATTATATCTCTGTATTACTTAAACTATAGATACATGCTGGGAAAATTAAGGCCCATTAGAACAATCCATCTAGTAACATGAAAAAGTTGTACACAATTTTCTTTTGATCCCTAAAGCATCAAGATATGATCAGCTAAGAATTGTATTAGTTCTGCATCTGTAGTTTCTCATGTGTAATAAGAAATTCTATTTTTCTGAATTGCTTCTATGATTAATCCTAGGTTGGATAAAAGACACTTGTAGAAAGCATCCTCCTGAATTAAGCAGCTGATCCATTTGTGTTGCATTGTAAGGCTAACAATAAGTAAGGCATTAAAAGTGTAGTGACCATGAGTTTGTGGCATGTACTCAAGAATATTCCTATTTGGAAAGTATGAAGTGAGTTTAACTCTTACTATAAAACAATATGCCAACTTAACAATATAGCTGTTACCTGTGAAAGCAGTAACACATAGAGACAGACTTCTTTATCTCATCTGAAAACGTATTATCTTTAATTAAATGTAAATAAATAGGTAGGTCTCTAACCTTTGCTTAGAGTGTGAATGAAAGCTATTTGAATTTCTGCTAATAAAGTATAATTTGCCAGAGGATCCCCAGACGTAAGTGAATCCTGCGCAGGGATGCCTGACTCCCTTCTAGATTACGAGGCTGGGCAGTGATAAATATAGTCAGGAAAAGCTTCATGAGTTTCTGATCAGAACATTTTTCAAAGATCTTGGGAGGGTTTTGGCAATCTGTGCTGTTGTAGTTACACTGCTATTGGTATTGGAGCTGGATGTTGTAAAGAAAGTCCTTTGGATTATAATATTAGATGTCTACACATAAGAACTGTATCTGAACTTGTATTCTTTGGGCCCATTTAACTTTTTCTTCTTCTTGCCTAAATGTTTTTTCTGGACTTGTAAAGAAGCCTACTTCCTCGTGTGTTTGCTTTCCAAGAAGCAGCTTGCAATATGTCTTGCTGTCTGGAACGCTTGCCAGAACTGCCATTTCAAATGTGGGATTCCCAGGATTTTGAGGAGCATCTCCATTCCAAGTGTTCTGTTCGCTTAATCAGGGTAAGGGAAGCAGGAAGAGAAAAACAGTAACCAGTCAAGACAGCTGTGTAACTAGGCAACTACACAAGGAAAACTTCATAGACAGCTGCTGATTCTGAGCTGTGATTCTGGCAGGTTTTACTTCCTTTTCTTTTTTGTTTTTCTTTGTGACCTCTGTAGATAGTCATAGAAGCTTTCCAACAGATGCCCCTTTAGAGGGTTGCCGGGAAGTAGTTCATGAATGTTTACCTACTAGAAACTACATTTCTGTTCCAGCAGCATTGTAAACTATAAAAGATCTAGTGGTAGACTGCAATTCAGCTGAAGATGTGCTCACGTGTGAATAGATGGAGGAGAGAAGCAGTTACTAAAGGGTTAGATAGACTAAACCTTCTTGGTTTGAAGGACTTGGCTTTATTCTTTGAAAAACAGGCATTTTTTTTAGAAGGGCAGATTTGAAAAGAACTTTGCATTCATCATCTTCATCCAAGTTTGCATACATCAGTGATGCTATAAAAAATCCAGTTAGCTCAATTATGCCACAGATATTCTTATTTCACAGCAAAAAAAAAAAAAAAAGAAAAAGAAAAAAGCTTGTACTTATTTCAGGAGCAGATGAGGCTGTTTTTAATCTGTCTATGTTAACACAGGTTGAGTGATAATACTTTGACTGGCTTCTTTCAATTATACTCCATTGCTTCCCTTATACTTGTCACAAAAAGGGAAACATGAAGTAAGAGATACTGCAAGATTCCCCATTCAGGAAGCTCTGAGGTCAAAATACCTGAATTTTTAGCCTTTTGGTATTATAGCAGAATAATGCAGTGTGGCCAATGACTTTTCCTAAATTGAGGTTGCTTTCACTAGCTGCAGCATTTACCCATTTCCCAGTCTATAAAGACATGTACAAGTCACAGACGAAATAGCATAAACTGGTCTCTCCTAAATCCCTGCAGGGAACCAGAGGAGATACAACACCAACAAATGTCAGCCTCTGTTGTCTATCAGCTTCTTTAAATCATGTCCAGAGCTACTGAGAATGTCTTAAGTAAAAGCTTCTGAAAGCTTGTCATGGATTCTTGGTTTATATGTTAGAGATGCATGTCCAATTCTGCTCCCCAAATTAACTCTCATAACTCAGAACACTAAGTCAAAGAGAAAGGAAGAAACAGAGGCATTAGGCAATTAGAATTACTATTTTGCCTATAGTGTGTTATTGAGAAAAGAATAAAAGTAGATGAGAAATATGTGCAAAAAAGAAGAAAATGTCATAGGGAAAAGAATGGCAATAAACACCAGCAGATGGAGCCAACAAAGTAGAACAGGGACCGATTATATTATGCTGAGAAAAACGCAAGAGGAGCTAATAAATCATTTGAGCTTTCTGATATTCTAGTCAGAGCTCTAGCCATATTTAGTTAGTATAACACCAAGCATCAAAGAACATGCATTAGAGATCAGAAATTCTTTTCTTTTTTCTGTCAGGGTTTTGTGCAAAGGAGCCTGATTTATGCTTAAAGTGCTTTCCATGTAAGGAAGTAGAAATTACATTTGCAATGACTTTGAGACTGCACATCACTGTATATATGGGTCCCAAGAGTCTTCCTGCCTATCTGCAAGAACAGCAGGAAGGTGGTTTCAGGTTGAAACTGTATTCAGAGATTCCAGTTTCTCTGTCTGGGAGATTTGTTCTCGGTCTCTCTTTTCCTGTGCTTTCTGCTGGGAAGAGTCCCCTAGTCACCCAATAACCCTGGCACCAATTCTTGCATTACTTCCACTCTGCATTTGGTTAAAGGGAAATAGTTCACCTCTGCTGAAATCAGCCAACAGCCATTCATTTGCTGATACCACTGTCTTCTGTTTTGTCTTCATGAAGCACTTGGGTCCTCTTTAATTTGGTGGCAGATCATAAAGAGCCATCAGGAAGTCCAGCTGTTTGGAATCACACATAAGCCCTACTAAAGACAAATTATTGAGGGGGAGGGTGGGGGGTGTGTGTCTGCTCAGTGGGACTCAGTAAATGAAGAATCCAGTCATAATTCTAGTAACAGCTAATGTTGCAACCAATAAATCCTCTGTGTCTTAGTGTTCACATCTATCAAATAAGGATTGTTAGAAACCTTTGCTTTGACTCCACTGAGCAATACAGAACATACTGTTTATGGGACTTGTGAGAATTTGAGTATAAACAGAGTGCCAAACCATAGGGAAAAGAAACACCCAAGGATAGTGGCCTGAAAATTGCTTTGTATCTTTTTCAATCCAAAATACTTGATCTGTACCCAGAAATCAGGAGGTGAATTTTTGGTGTAGAATTCTCTTGAACATTTCTGTCAAACTGGTTCTAAGGACATTCTAAGGAGCCTTTTGTATTACTTAGCCCTAGGCAGATTTATGTTTTAGAAGGTCTTGTATAAACAGTTCAAGTGAAAGGTCTTGGAGCAGACTTTGTTTTTTCAATCCCAAATCAAT